ATACAATCCCTACTACTAGCTATTAAAACAGACATGTACATATCAATTTTTGTATATGTATGTAAACTTAATATATACTAACTTCTAAAATTTGTATATAACTAATAGAATATACAAATTCTAATCATATATTCAAATTCTCCATCTGTATAACTAAGTCCAATTACTATTTTGTATATATATACAAAAACCAAAAATAACATAAACATGCAATACACTATATACAATTACTCACATGGAATATACTATATACAATACTTAATTTAATGGTTTTTGTATGTTGACAACTAATTAACAAAAAAATTGTATCTAAGTTTGTGTTTTAAGACACTATCTCATGATTATGAAGTTCTTCAGATCCGACTTCACAATCATTTTCCTCTGATTCAAATAGTACAGCTTTCCTCTTTCTTGTACCTTGTACAATTTTAATGCCTCTAGCTTTGGCATTTTTAATAACTTGTTGAACTGCCATAGGGTCGTTTTTTTTCTTTGATCTCAACTCTTCCATGGTTTGTTCTTGTATAAGTTGTTTTGATTTTCCCAAAGACCCTACATTAACCCCAAATTCTTGAGTTAGCCCCATTGAAAAGGATGGTAAAATGTCAACAACATTGACATGCAAAGGACTACCTCTGGTAATCCTCAAAGATTTAGACGATTCGTTCATTGTTTGACGAATTTTAGATCTATCAAGAACAAAAAAACGATTATTTCATCAAAATATATGAAGAAAAAAAAAACAGAACACATATACAATTTTTAGATAAGTTAGAAAAAAAGGTAAACAACTAAAATTAAGGATAACTTACGAAATTGACTTCAACTTAGGGAGGAGACTTCAACTTTAGGAGGGATTACTGAAATTTTGGACAAAAATTCGAAATTCAAATCTGATATTGGAGTATTAAATGTAGGAGAAGACGTTAGAATGAGGAAAGAAGAGAGAAAATTAATTGTGAATAGGAGAGAGAAAATTAGATTGTGTATAATTATATACAAAATTAGAAAATAAGATTTTTATACAATTGGTTACATAATAGGTTGTGGCCCCCATTAATTATAGCAAAATAAAATAAACTATAATTATATAATGTAAATAAATTAAACTATACCCCTAATATATAATTAGTTATGAATGTTTGCCATTTCATATAATTTTCCCTTTTTAAATGTTTTATATTGCTGTTGGGGCTGTGAAGGCCCAAACAATTACATTTGCCACACATAGTTCATCTATTTACCAGTTGCATTAGTAATTTCAAGTTTTTCATTTGATTGCCACACACCATAAGCAAAATAGATGTTATTTATTCCCAAATTTTTGATTTTAAAACTCTTTTACGCTAATTAATCTTATTACTTTGCAACATATTAATTTCGTTATTGTCTTGGACCAGAAACTCCTAGTAGATATACAGTAACCATATACATAGATATCAGTAATATGAGAGTAGGAAAGAGAAGAATAGACAGAGCTGTCTAGTAGAGGT